TCTGCCTGAATGAAAACAGGACCTGCCCTTTTGATTTCTTATGGTTGGGATGTTTGGAGGGAAATGGGTTTTAGTTTGTTCTGGTTTTTAGCTCCCTGTAGATGGATATATTTTCTAACTGAAGGATAGAGAAAGGAAGAATTTATTTCACAGGGATGATTGACAGCTAAAAATCTCACATACATCCTTCATACAGCCCATTTGCCTTAGCGAACCCATGCACTTTGTGTTTCTAAGGCAGAACAAATGCCCATGTACTTCCATTAGCTACCGGGGTCTACCGTTGTAAGACAACTGTCTGGAATGCTGATTTCCCTGTTACTACTCCAGTTTTTATCTATGCAAATTTGGGTATGAGAAAAATATCAGCTGTATATAGAAATTAAGCTTTTCAGAGCAGCAGTGTCTTGATGTGACGAACACACTGTTCTCAGGTCTGAAAAGAAGGAGAGACTACTGGTGCTACAGTGGCAGTTCAAGTGATTCAGAAATACAGTGATAAATAAAATATGCTGTTCCATTGACATTCACACCTTCCATCCTTGTGTTTCAACTCTTTTTTTGAACATTTGGGCAGAGCCTTGCACTTCCAGGTTCTCAAACAGGAACATACAGACTACTGGCAAACAAAACAATGTTTTAGTGTGGGACAAGGCTCTGAGGCTTTGCAACACATCTATTAAAATATTAATAGCTCTTCTATTTCTGATTCGTTTTTTGCTGCTGGAGGGTGAAGGCAACACACTGAATGCTTGTGCTGAAGATAAGCCCTCTGGCTGAAAACTGCAGCTCTTGCTCTCACCCAAATCCATTCACAGTTTCTACCAACCCTAACCTTCCTCTCGGACACTGTCTGGGAGCTACCTGGGCCCTAGTTCCTCACAAGGAAGAGAAATTTATTAAATAGTTGCAGCATCCTGCACTCTTTACTGAAACTGAGTCAGCCTCTTACACCAGCACAATGTACACAGAGCCAGGGTTGGAATCTGGAACTGAGACAGCAGAAAGTGGTATTGATGTGGCAAACACTGGAAAGTGGTTTGCCTAATGCTAAGAATTGTTAAAGCACAGGTGACAGCATAAGAGTAAGATCAATACAATGGAGAATGTCCATGAGTCTCCAGAAATGTAGAAACCACTACAGTTTAGCTTTACAAGTGTTGCAACACCATGAAAATAAATAGGGGAACTAAATATCTGTATTTCAATACTTGCTCATCATTAGAAAACAAATACCTCTCTCACATATAATTAAATGAGAAAGGAAACGAACACATGATTGATATTTACATATCTAACTCTACTTTTTATTAGCCTCACAAGAAAGTGATTGTCAGTCACCTCTCTCTATTCCTGAACAGTATATGGTACTAAAGAAGACGAGCATCAACATACCTGATTGATAAAACTGACATAGTTGAGGAACACAGGCAATGAAAATGTAACATGTCCAAAACACACTCCTGCTTTTCCCAAGGTGTTAGTAACAAGTATCTTTCTTTGGCAAACACTCTCTTCCCTTCCTCTCATCCCTACCTTCAGTTCAGACATTAAAAAAATTTCCATAATGGAATAAAATAACTATTTGTTCACAGAACTCCTTCACTGTGTCCAGATCCAACATGCAATTGGAGGCACCTACATGTCCACTGGGAAGTCCCGCAGTTTGCAAGGAAGATTATTTTTAATTTGCTAACAAAGCTATTCAAGCAATCAGATGTTGACAGACCTGCTTCAACCCTAAGCATTTATGACCGGACCTTGATTGAAAAAACACTGGTTTTTATGTCTACTTAAACCTGGATGTCCTTCATGAAAGGTCAGCACATCTTTGCAACTGCAGCAAAAAACTTTATCTTTTTTTTCCTTTTTCTTATTTTTTTAGTTTTATTTATCTTTTTCTCTTCACTTTTTTGTTTTCTATGTTTTGTTCACAATAGATGCTCAGAAAGTCTGGGGTGACATAGCCCACGGAAGACCCCTTTACCTGCATCAAGGGGCCGAGGGAGCTTGGATATTTCCCTCGTGAGTGCTGTCAGAAAGCCAGCCACAGCTGCTGCATGCATGAGATGAGGAGAACTTGCTGCCTTAGAAGATACTTCTGTTCAGAGACTGGAAGGGATCTGTCCTTCTTCCCTCCTGGACTTTTATTTGGAGGGTAGAAGAGATCTGATCCATTGTAAATACTATATGTCATGGTAGAGAGAGTTGTGATCGTGTATATAATGTATTATGATATTTATTTGTACAGTCATTGTAATATATTCCCTTTCCCCCATTCAGAGTCTGGCATATTTTGTCTGGAAAACACATCTCTCGCTGAGTTGAGATGTGGGAGGGGGAATGGAGCTAGGGAATTGGATTTTGGTGTATCTCAAACCATGACAACATCTTTTTATGCTGTGTTAAAAAAAAGGTTCATGCAAAAACTGTCCCAGAGAAGCAGTTCAGTTGAGGGACATCTTTAAGCTCCTTCAAGGAGCAGCGTTGGCAAAATTCCTAAAACCTGCAAGGGACCACATTACTGTGTATTATTCTCTGGATCATGGTAAACTGGTTTTACTCTGGAATGCTGGAGAAGCCTCAAATACCAGCTTAGCCTAAGGGCTGTGGTGCTTGAAAGAGGGCAAGAAAAAAAATCAACTACATAAAGAGGCCCACTACAGGTTTGGAGCCCTCAGAAGCATAATTCTGATTATAACTAACCCACATTGAAAAATTTTCTGCATCTTAAAAAGTTTTTCATTTAGGAGTTTGTGTTCTGCAGAAACCAGGTGTGGAAAGTTTAGTTATCTGGGGCAAAAAGTGAATCTGGCTCAACTAAATCTTTCCATTTTCAGAAGTCTGTGTACATACAGCTTGAAAATGATACAGGAGTTCACATTAACCTGGATATATAAGAGTTCACTGTGAAAAAATGGCATGCTCTAAATTCTACATTCTCCTTTAATACACTAATTTACTCTGAGTACCGCTTTGGTTGAAGCTATGAAGAATTTTAGAAATAGTCATTACAATTCCCATAAGGGTTAAATTAGAAAAAAAAAAGAAAAAAGAAAAAAAAAAAAGAAGTGTGCTTTTATGAGATATATATGCATATTTAGTAGTAGAAATGTCTATACTTAAATTCCTAAGTCTTCTTGTTCTTGTTACCTTATTTGTTCATCCTTGAAACAATCCTCTGTAAGGTGAAAAGCTATTTTTAGAATGGAAAATCATAGATCTCTTTAACAATATATTTGTACCCTCAGAAAATTTCATACTTTCCAAAGTTTCATGGACTAACAGAAAATTTACATCTTGTGCTTTGAGGTTGCAGATGCCTTGACTGAGTTTTTCACACTGTGTACAGAGTAAACATATGCATTTTTATTCAATATATTATTTGTTTTTAAAAGTGTTCCAAAAGATATTGTTGTCATATACAATGTATTTCAGGAGAATAACAAAGTGTCATACCAAAGTTTTTTTTAATTTTTCAAGGTCTGACAACATCACAAAAGTTGTATATTACAGTACTTCTATGTGAAGAGGAATATGGGGTCCAACTTGAGCTAAGCCAATACCAGTAATTTCAGTTATGTATGTTCCAATGTTTTTTTCTGTTTTTATGTATATATATGCATACATGTAAAAGAACCCCAAAAGAATAACATGTAAAAGAACCCCAAAAGAATAAAATGCAGTCAAAAAAACCTAGTTATTTTTTTGTAACTATTTAGATATTCACCTCAATATTCCTTCAACTTCATGCTGTTGTTCTAGTGGGCAAAAAGATAATTTGCCAGTTTATTATTGAAAATCTCCTGTATTTCCAAAACCAAATTTGAAATTTCACAAGAAAAGTCTCCCTTAAAACACTGTATCACTTTTATTTTTACAGCTCAAAAAACCAAGATCAGACAACTGTGGTCCTGGTAAGAAACTGACTGCCCAGATCCCCCTATGAACCAGTTAACTCAGGGCGCACTATCACTTGAAAGGTAAAACTAAGTTGATTTTTCTTTCCTTCACACTTTGACTATGCCTTGCTGTTCTTGCCATATGCACAACAAGGCTCCACTGGAGTTGACTTTTGTTCTGCACTGTTGCAGTTACCCAACAAAGGCACCTTAGACATTATACTGGCTGAATCTCTGCTTGGCTTGATACTATCATGGACATCTCTCCTGAAGCAGGTGCTGACAGACCTGAACTGATTCTGCCTGCCTTCCCACTGCCTGAGTGAAAGGCACGTCCAGTTTAGAAACTATATTATAGACCCTTTTTTTTTTTCCTATAGATAATAGATACTACCTGCATATTTTGGCAGGAAAACTTGCTATTGTAAGGTCAAAACATTCTCCAAACAGTGGACTAAACCATTTGTCACACATAGGGATCTTCTTCTGAGCTTGAAGTAAGATGGGACAGAGGTGTTTTCAATGTCAGGAATTCTTGACAACCACAGTCCCTGCAGTTTCTCTCAGGTTGTGTAACACATAAACTATAACAAAAATCTCATTAGACTGAGCTTTCTTCAAAACTCTGTGGCATCAAAAAGTGCTCTGAAAGCTGGCATGGTTTTGTGGTTTTGAACTCCCAATAGGTAGTGTCTCCTCGTCACTTCCCACTGTCACAACCTGTCATATTTCGTAGCTTTGTCTTCTGGAGACACTTGTGAGGAGCGTATTTTGTTTTGCAGATGGCAAAATATGATGTTACAGAAACAAACTCAAATGTTTGTAGTCTGTAGATGTAAGGAGAAGCCATTAAATGGGGTGGTAATAAGAGAGTCCTTCATGCAAGGGCATGTAGTTAGTAAAACTCAACCCCAGTGACAATCCTACCTTTTATGTTATTTAGTTGTTTTCTCTCTGTCCCACTGGAAAATGGTAAAAAATGCAAACCAGAAGGAAAATAGCTTGTTCCTTTATTTGGCTAAACTCAACATACATTCAATTTTGAGTTAAATGAGTATTTTTCATTATGTCCAAAAACAAATGGAAAAGCTAGTGGTTTTTAAACAACTTGAGATGAAGATGACAGTTATGCCCTAGTTTAGGAATTCAGCTTTTTGAAAACACTTAAAAATATTATCTATTTGTACTGCAATATCTCCAAGATTGGTTATGCCTTTTCTCCAGCTGGTACACTGAGCATTTCCATGCAGTAAAAATTATGCATCTCCAAGTGTACTTAAATCTACTGGCCTGCTGCTGTCACACAATGTCTACTCACGCTACAGAGAAAAGAAAAAAGACCCCAAACCTGTGCATTTGTGTAAAATTCAAGCATTATGGAGAGATGCACATTGCATAAAGCAGTATGGCTTAATTCACATACACGTGAAGATGAAACACAGACCTCTTTTGCCAACTCTTTATTTCATGAGGCAAGGAAGGAGTGTTAGAGACACCAGGCTTTCTCTTAACCCCAAAAAAGACAGGTGTTTTGCTATACGCTGCAGGATAAAATCTTTCTCTCTTCCCCTGACTCTGTTTTGGTCCAGCAGCACTTCAGCTGGAGATGATTCTGCAGTTTCCCAGAGGAGATATGTGACCTCAAGTGTGGTGCTCCATTTTCACTCCATGGACCCCTGTTTTGATGTACTCCAAGGTCTAACCCTGGCTGGCCTGTCCTTGTGTTCTGTACTCTAGTTTGTGTTCTGCAGAGCTGCTTCCACATGGAACCACTGGGGTAGATTTGCAAGGCTTTGAGTGCTCCTATTTCTGTATGGAGCCAATGTAGTTCAGGTAAATTTTATCACTCCTGGCTCTGCTTCACAGGAATTCAGACACACAGTTTCTAAAAATGTAGATAACATAGAAGAGAAGGCAGCAGCACTAGTGTGGTGCTAAGCATTTAGGAAATGTCCCTCCTGGACTAAGAATTCCTCACTCTCTCTGACACTAACTGACAGCTTGACAAGCAGCCACTGACAGGGAAGGACTGACTGAAATATGCACATTCTCTTTCTACATACAGCTGTGCACAGGCTTTCAGAGGAAAGGAAATTAGATCACAGAATATCCATACAAAAGGCAGCTATCCGATCAAGGACAAATGCACCACTTGAACAACTTAAGTGACTGAATAGAGATCTTAAGCACCTGATATTTCGCTACACTGCTGTCTTACAGAAAAGTGGTGTGACTTACCCTGTTTTTAGCCTTTTGTCAAAAATAAGGAGGAGGGAGGCAGACTCTATACCTCACATGGACCAAGGTCATACTAGAAGGTGAACCCAAGTCTCCTGAGAAGTGTCTAAATGTCCTCCCTATGCCTGCAAATAATAATAAAAAAACTTTCTTATTCATTCTCTGACCTGTTCATGATGTATTTAAAGAAAAAGAAGAATTTCAGCAGGAGAAGTGGCAGAAGCTGAGGCCTCAGGCAAAACCATTATGTTAATAACCATGATTTTTTTGCTCTGGCTCCTTAGTTTACATATTCAAACAGGTATTCAAACATATTGGGATAGAAATTCTCTCAGGTACACACTCAGTATGTAGTTATTTGTTTTCTCTTGATCCCTGTGACTAGGAAAGTGACTTTCATACATCTCCCTCTATTAAACACAGAGAGTTTTGGCTTGAATACACTGCAAAACAGAAAAATACAGTTAAATACGAAATATTTTTAGAAAGAAGTGCCATTTCTACTTCAGCTGTAATTAAAAATTTTTCTTTTCATGTCTACATGGAAAGTGAAGAAAGAGTGAGAATTGTCAAAGTCCTTAATTTTAAGTCTTGAAGGGACTACTGTGAGTGCTCATATGAACTACTGGACAGTTTCTCTTGTAAAAGTTGTCTCCAGTCTTCCATTAAAAAACTCTAGATGTTCATGAGCTTCTCTCCTCTGGAAAGCTATTCCAGTATTTGTTTAAATAATTATGTTTAAATTAATAAAATTTATATTAATAAAAAAATTATTTTTTAATATAAATTAGTTTATTATTTTTTATAAATTAATGTTTGATTAGTTAGTTTTCCTAAAATTTCTTTTCAGTGTCTACTTATTTATTATTCCCATGTTTTTAACAATCTCATGTAAAGATAAGTTTCACATGAATATGTGACTGCCAGAGATTTCAGAGGGTAGTTACTTTTTTTAATGCTACAGACACTTGATAAATCATCCTGATTTTCTAAGGTGTTAGTCAGGAACATCATCCTGTTTCCACTATAACTATCTACTTTCATGAAAGGGCTTAGGAAGGGTTCCCTGGTGCCAGACACCCCATTTGATGTTGTCTGCACAATGCCCCATGATTTGTACCTTTTGAATGCTTTGATTATGAGTCCCCAGGCATGGTAGCAGTGGCACAATTGATGCTTGGATGGCTCTAGACCCTTTCCGGTGCCCTTACATTCACCTCACATTTTTGAGGCCATGCAGTGTCATGAAAATAAAACCACAAGTCACAGAAATGACACTTCCAAGATGCAGGTAAAGAGCAAGATCTCTAATGTGTAAACAATTATTTTTTTCTTAAGAAGCATCCTTTTGCTACTTTATTATTTAGTTTTGGAGTTGTTGCAACTCATTGAGCTGTTTTTCTCATTGGATAACTTCTTCAAAGCTCTGTGCAAGGCAGTACCAGATCTGTAGTGTGCACTGATGTAACAAGAAGAGACTTTGTCCTCTATTTTCACCTGTATTTAAAAGAGATTTTGTCTTTCACAGGAACAGCCAGACACACATAATAATTGAACTTCCAGCAATTATTTACAGTGATATCACTGAACACTTCATATTATAATAAAATAGTTTACATAAACATGATTAAACTATCCCATATCAGACTGATTAACACACTTAGTGATTGGTTATTGCAAAATTTTTGCTGTTCTTGATTATTTTAAAAGACATTAACATGTAGGGATAACTACAGATTTCTGATTCCTTCACAACTATTTTAGTATCCTAGCTCAGTATTTCATTTTATTAAAGTGTTTAATAAAAGTTCATGTTACACCAGTAACTGCATATTGTGTGTAGTATCTTAGGATCAGCTTTGAAGAAATATCCCTAGAAATAACCTTCCCTAAAATATTAAGTATCCCTCACCTCACAATAAACCAGGATTTTTGTCCTTTTTTTTTCAAAAACTGTTTTAAAATACAGTGCATGACAAGATTATGGGGTCTGGTGGAGTTTGCTCTCCATGGAGGTAATGGGACAGGTTTGATGAAAAATTGCTTTCTCCAGGCCTCACCCTGGAGATGCTGGGATGCTTGTTCCCAGGCTGGTGCCTGCCCCATGCTGATACAACAGTCCTTGTCTGAGTGCTCTGACACAGGGTGCCACAGCCCCTGTTTGCACAGGTTGTTCCTCTTCAGACCAAGAATGTTCCAGAGAGAACCAATTTTCCCACCAGCGGGTGAAGGTCTGTCCTAGTTAGAACAGCTGGGACCGATTCATCACTGGATGGGTGTAGCCCAAAACTGTGTATTCTATAGCCCTCCATGCCATCTCCCAGAAACGGTTATCAGTAAAGGCCTGTGAAATAGGAAGATGTTCCTGTCCTCATACCCTTTTATGGAATTCCCCGCTCTGAGGGAAGGACTGAGCATCCTCATACCCTTTTATGGAATTCCCCGTTCTGAGGGAAGGACTGAGCATTCCTGCCTGAACTGGGGAATATATAAACCTGGAGTTTCAGAACCTGTTTTCCACTCGTGGGATCCAGAGGAAGACTGCAGCTCACCGCTCTCAACCGGACTGAGACCACCACCCTCAACTGGACTGCAATCACCACTTTTGACCAGACTGCAACAGCTCTCCCACCAGCAGGTTTTTCCCTTCTCCCTTTACTTTGGACGCAGGGGGGGCCCAAGGAACACCACTGTGTTCATGCCCCAGGGTGCTGGGTTATACATTTGGGTTTTGTGGGTTAAGACTAATTGTTTGTCTGTATAATCGTACTTATTGTATTATTTTACTAAATTGTTATTCTGATTTATAATCTCTCTTTTGAGTTGAGTTCATTTCCCCTGCTGGTTAACTTTTAAACCAGCACAAGGTCTTAGTCACCCATCCAAATAAAAGGAAAGGCAGCATATTGATGTTTTAAGAGAAAACAGCAGGGTTAATCTTCAGATTGGAGACAAGTCCGTTTACTAAGATGTTAATTTTGTTTAGGTTCTGTACTTTGATTTGCTATTCTTGTCTCATTTTCTTTCTTGCCCACTTTTAAGAAAACAGTGTGGACTCTTACGTTCAGCTCAATAAATTAAATCAACCTGAGGACTAGCACTCCACAGTACTAGCCTTATGAAAGAGTGACTAAAGCCTGGCTTTGCTCCAAAAGCTTAAAATTCTCTTACTGCATCAGAGATACTGGCTCATGCCTGTTACATGCCTACAGGACAGGCTGTCTAACTGTCTGTTTCTGTGCTATAAAATGCCACACAGTGGGCATTTAACCCATTGTGGATTAAATTAAGATTTTGCAGGATCTGTCAGGAATAGTAATTTTCAAGTAATACAAATAAATAAATACACACACATGCACAGATGTGCAAACCAGGGGTACCAGGATGGTAGACGTGTTTCTAGCAGTTTGGTTAGTCTGTAGTCTGGAGAGGCTGGATTCTTCATCAGACAAGGCTGAGGGCATCAGACTGGGCTGGGCTGCATTTTGTATCTAACCTCACTGATTTGTTCTGAACCCTCTCCAGATCAGAGGATGCCATGTGTGTGTTTACTGTGATAGCATCAATACATCTGATAAGAATCCAGACCATCAGCAGGTATTGATTAGCAGAGTTCAAGTCACTGATCCTTTAAGGACCCTTTCTTGTAAACCCAGTTATAACTGACCCTTTTTCTCTAAAGCTCTCTCTAGCACACAGAGCCATATCCGTGGCCTCTATTTCCTTTTTTCCTCCCTTCCCCCCTGAATATCCCCCTCCACACAAACTGCTGCACTTGGAGCATGCCTCTGTTCCTTTCCATGCAAAGTTTAATCTCTTTTTCAACTGTGATCAAGAGCTGTCATCAAAATGATCTCTGCTTTCATGTTGGATTGAGGGTTATGTTTACTGCACTTAATTTAGACTCAGACAGTGATGTATCAGGGAAAGCTTTGTTAAGTAAGAAATCCAGCTCGTGTGGTCAGGCCTGTCTACTTAAAGAACAGCTTTCATTTAGACTGTGGAAAAACTGCCCCTCCAAGTTTTTCTCTATGGCAGTAGTCTGTAGACAGGAAAAATCCTTAAACCTAAGAAAGAATAAACCAGGTGTTCACAGAAAGACTTAAAAAAAATCAGGGAGAAGAGTGCAGGTAGGCTTAAGAGGAATGTAAAATGGAATGTAAAACGTTGACACGAACACAAAAGGCAGTAGAGAAAAAATTTTCGTAACTTAGGACTCCAGTTTAAAAAAAGAAAAAAAATGTATATACACATGACACAGAAATTTACCACAGAAACCATCTTGAACTGCCATCTCAGAAAGTCAGTATATGAACCCAAAAAGAGAATAAAAACATGAAACAGGAAGAGTAAAAATGTGTGTATGTGTAAATTTACCCAACCTCATCTTAATTCTGTTGGTGAAAGTAATGTGCAACTATATCAGGAAACCTTTTATAGCCATGTGTTTTAACAAATTTGTTCTGTATTACAGAGTAAATTCACAAAACAGGAGTTTTAGAGGCTTTTGGCACCACTACCAGCCTGGAGCATGAAGAAGTGATGTGAAGATGGCATTTCCTAGAAAAACCATGCTGGAGTGGGGGGAAGGTGAGACAATGTGGCTTCTTAACTTTTTTTTTAAATTAAATTACACATCTGTGCATTCAATAAGTTGTTTGATCCAGGGAAAGTTTCTTCCACAAAGCTGGACTACCATCTGACAGTCATATGTCCTTTGTCCAAGCTGAGGCTGTGACCCTCAAACTTGATCTGGAGAGCTGACCCGTGTTTGGGAGGACCTAGCAGGGGCAGTCACTGCTCATTCAGAGGAATCACACAGGTGTAAAAGCCTGACTGCAGGATCCTGTGGCATATGTGGGGCTGGAATTTCCCTGTCTGAGAAGAAAATATCCTCTGATGCATGATACCTGTTCACAGTACCTTGCAAGAGTTTGCTCCCTTTCTCTACATCATTCTGAAAGGGCTTCTCCTGAAACAAAAATTGTAAGCACTACTTTTAAGCTCCTCTTTTCTCCACTGTCCTGTACATCCTATCTTATAGCATCTGCTATCACATACCTGCTCTTTCCATGAAAACCATCTCTCACCAGTTATTCTGGAGACAGGCTTTTACCACCTGACAAAAAACCCAAGCCAGCTCGTTCCTGCTTTTAGGACTCAAATTAAAGAACACATTTAATCCATGTGAAAAATGACACACATTTAAATACAGACATCGTAAGACAGCTACTGTTCCTGCTCCAGGAATTTTTCATTCTCTAATGACTTCTTGGTCAGCAAGATTGGTACTTTCCACAGCCTGTCTCTTGAGAGCATTAGTGAAGTCTGAGACAGGCTGTTGGACAATCTTTATGTCCTTCCCCATCCAGAAAAGGGCAAATCCACACACAAAGAGCTGTACAGTGCAAAACAGGCCAGAACAGCTCAAAGAAGAGGAACAAGAGGGTATAGGTGCCTAGGAGG